GATAAGGTTTAAGGTGTGCAGCGTTCAAGACCCTTGCTGTGGGAGTTTATACACATGTAAAGATTGGTGGGTCCGGGTCAGCCGGGGTTCGGTGAGCGGCAGTATCCGTAGCACGTCAGTGAATGCCGAAAATGCCGGCGCATCAGATTCTCCGCAGCTTGCATCAGCAATGTGATAGTTTCGGCGATTGCACCATATTTGTAGAACGGCATGACAGAAGGGTTTCGAACACCGCACAGGTTTCCTTACAGCATGTCGAAGATCCTGTGAGCATAGCGCAATGGGGTTTCCAGGTGTTTGAGGGTTAGGGTTTGGGCTTTCAGGATTTTCGAGGCTGAGGGTTGAATGTTTCCAGTTTTTTGGGCTTTAGGGTTAAGGCGTTCTCTCAATGAGGTATCTGATCATAAAGTCACGGGGTTCAAATTCTGGTAGGTTGGATCACCACCAGATGTCAGATGTTATTGGGTGAAGGCTTACTGGAGATTCCGGCTGCCTCCAATGCACGGGCACAGCTGGCCGGTTGTCAAATTCCAAATTCGGAAAATGATGTTCCAGCAGCCGACACGACGACAGGCGCTTCCATTCGCAGACTGTATCTTGGTGTTGATGATCACTAGCTGATTGAGGCCGTTCGTGCTTTGACTCAGCAGCATTGAGGCTGCGTCTTTAAACACATTGTGTGACTCCTTTTGTGGGATGTTGTGTGTGGTGACATGGCCCCAGGTTTGCAAACATGGAGCAGGAGAGACTCCTGCAAAGGCAAATTTATGCACCTTCTTCTTTGTCACGCCTTGACCCCGGCACAGCAAGTGCTCTTCAACGCCTCGTGCAGAATGGACAACATGTCATAGCATAGGGCCGGTGGGCATGCGCGCAGGAGGTGGGTGGCAGGTCTTGTGGTTGCGGAGCTTCGCATCTCACTTTGAAGGCGTTTGGGTGGAAAAGGGATTCTGGAAAGAGCGCGTGAGGAGGCCTCGGGATGTCTGCAGGTTGAAGGGTTGGCGGTTCGGGTGCAGAGCTTCAGGTGTGAAAGGCTTCAGGCTTACTCGGAATCGAGGGAATCCAGTTGAGAGACACGGAAAAGGCTCCGAAAAGGCGCCTGCGCTGTCACCCTAAGCGCTCGAATCTTCTCGGGCTGGCAAGAGGCGCCAATCCTCCGGCTCGCGTAACCCTGAGCCCCACTACCTTAAAGAGACAGCTTGCAGCTTGTTTCGTGTTGCAGGTTGATTCGGGCTGCCAGGGGAAGGCGCACCGATCGTGCATTGCTTTGCCGGGAGTTTCAAAGTCAAGGTTTGGGGTTTGGGGCTTTCGGGTTGGGGTCCGGGATATTGTGGTCTTCGAGGGTTTAGGGCTCTGCAAAAACCGTTCCCCAACCCAACACACCCTTCCGGTGATGCCCTGAACCCTAAACCCTGACCCCACACCAGAATCCTGAAACCGTCACCCTAGTACTCCCAGGAGCTTAAACCTTGAACCCCAAGCCCTGATGAGCCCGTCAAAGCTAGTCTGGGAGACGGTGGAACATGAGGGTGTCTTTCTGAGGGCAGGCCTACTTAAGCAGGAGTTGCGGAGCGAGAGTCCGATCCCCCGTGAAAAAAAGCCCTAAACCGTGAAGTCTTAAGTCCTACACCCTGAAACCCTAAAGCACTGCCTTGAGAGGCCTGGACCACAGCCAGCCAAGGTGGATTGTATCCGCGCCTCAGATCTTGATTTACTTTTGGCGATTTGGATACATCGTATTGACTTTGTCACAGAGACTTAGCCCTGTATAAGTATGCTATGGCATCCCTCCACAGATCTTGATTACCTGTGGGGTCTGAACAGAAACACTACAGTTTATCCCAGGGTCCGGTCTGAACACTCAGTCGTACTATTGCTCGGCCCTCTGAAACGGAGTTGCAGACTGCAAACCACCAACTTTCAGCCTAATCTTCGGGCTGCTATATCACTTGGGCAGAAGATACAAGTGGTACAGTATTGAAGTGCTAGGCAATAGTAGTATCAACTACCACACTAGCACTCGGGCTTCGACTTGGACCACGGGACGGCCAACTGGGGGTGGAACTTCTCTGCTTCGGGGGGATCACATTTGGCTTCAGGCTTGGGGGTTTCGGGCCTTGGTGGGATTTCGGGCTTTCGTTTCAGGTATAGTGTGCAAATGGTGTTGAAAACCAAGTTGCTGCCGCATGCGGAGTTGGACAGGATCTCCGTACTCGAAGCCTGAGATCCTAAACCCCCGAATCAGAATTCTGCAACCCTGAAACCTGAACCCCTGTGTGCCGTCTCGGACTTCGCAAGACTTGAGCAGTTTCCGTGAGGCTGAGTCTTAAACGCTACACTCCATGAGCCTAGCTCGAAACTGCCACCCTCTACTCCTAAACCCCCCCCAGCTACACACCATCCCAACACCAGGCCGCGAAACCCATATCCTGGACCTGAAATCCTCAATTTCATAAGCCTAAGCTCTTAATAAAGCCCTCATCTCAAAAGAAATCCTCCCAAGAAGGGGACCTTGACCAAGCCGAGGAACCTAGCGACAGCGGGACTCCGCTCTCCCATATTGGAGCTGCCACAGGACCCGAAGCTCGGGGATTCTGGGTGGTGTCAGAGGTTGGGGGTTTTGGGGTATCTAGGGGACAGGCTTCTCCAAGCTTCGAGGTTCGGTACTCTTTCTCTTTCACAGTGCCTCTTCGCCAGATCTTCGAAATGAGGGTAAAGGACCCGAGCTACGATTCTGGGTCCGAGCCACGAAGGCGGAGATGCAAGTGAAGGATTCTAAATTGAATGCCGATCCAAGGTTTCAAGTTTAGAGCATCCAGGCTTTGGATTCTTCTGGCTTTGGCTACGACGCTCTGAGGAGTTTAGGCTTTGTAAGACCCTAAAATGGCGTGTGAATAAGAGGCCGGCAACCTCACCATGAACTTGACTGCGTGGTGGGACATGGAGGAGCAGGTGCGGCTGGGTCAGTTTCTGCTTGTCGGTAACATGCAGAGCTTTCAGTGCTATTGACGTATGGAACATTCACTAATCGTGTTGGGCTCTCAAACTTAAAACCCATAGATGCGTAAACCCTGACGCCATGCATGCTGAACCCTAAACCCCGAACCCCAAAATCGTAACGGCCTACAGTGCCAAAGCCCATGTGGCAAGGTCGGGCCCTTCATGGAGACCACTACAGCGGGCTGCGAGGTGAAGGGCTGGGATGGCGTGCAGGCGATGTGGGGGAAAAGGGTCTCAGTGATTTGGGGGGCTGCGGACGAAAAAGGGGTCCTTCTTCAGGGGGAGGGAGGGGTCATTAATGAGAGTTTGAATGCTGCAGGTAGATATTCCAGCTGCGATCACCTGTTTTTCGAAGCTCTGATTTGGAGTTGGTTTATGTCTTGGGTGACGAGGCCGAGGCGGGTTCATTGGGCCGCACCGCTTCGGTTGGGGTCGGGATTCGAGATTGGGACATGAGAGTCTCAGGAATGCAAAATATTCTGGGTTCATTAGTAGTAAGAACCTTCTTGTTCGACATAGTTTGGGACGTCAGTGATCTGGACTGGCTCTTGGAAGGGTAAACACACCGCGCCACAAGTCTGATCGATAGAATGATGCAAGGATAAACGGGCAGTTGCAGCGGCATCTTCAAGCCTGACATCGAGACTGAAGGAGTTTATGAAACATCTTTGACCTCTTGATCTCAACAGGGTAGGACGTGGATCCTTGCAATTCTGATTTTCCGAGGAGCTAAATTTGGCGGACGCATGGCTGGCAAATGGGGAACACTAGTGAGAATTCGGGCTCTGTAGCAAGAACATCCAGACCTGCAGGACCTAGACACAAACCCCAAAACCCAAGCCTCACCACTTAACCATGCTGTTTACTTCTTTTAAGCTCTCAGCCATAAAATCTAGACTCGCACGCGAGACCCGAATGCCAGGTTCGGCTGCACATCTACAAGAGACCCGGGATTGAAGCTGAGAAGCACGGCTCTGGCGACGAGGCAGCGGTTCACAGCTAAACCCGAAACCTAAGCCGTGTTCATGTATAAGGGTTACTATAAGGGGTCTATAAGGGTACTATATATTATAGGGGCCTTAATAATTAGTGCGACTCCTGCCATGCCCACTCAATGAATTGATAGAGACCCGGCAACGCAAGCTGCTATTATCACTGTCACTACCCCCCTTGCGCACTCAGTTCCTCATCAGCTCCTAAGCCTCGAGGTGGTGGTGCTGCGACCGAAAGGAGGCTACGATGATCTCGAGACTGTGAAGGCAGTCGCGACTGGGCTGCAGCACAGGAGGCCGCCTCGAGCATGTTTTTTCAACACCCTACTTCACCCCGGGCCCGCCCTACACTCAACCCTTATACCCGGTACAAAAAGCCTCCAAGTCGGTCCCAAGAAATGCTTCATCCAAGGCGTCCTTTGCCAGACAGGCTGTTCGCAGCGTGATGGGTTGCTGGGTTCGAGAGTCAGTGCAACCTGCAGTGCTACGGTGGGGTACTGTGGTATATCATGGATACTTTAGGGACGATCAGGGGACACTATATTGGTGATTCTTCGGAGCTTCCCGTACTTCGAGGCCTCTTGCCACTTGCAGTTTCGGTGTTTTCTTGAGTTCATGTCCCGGGTCGGGTTAAGAGTGTAGGGTTCTTAACCCTACTAAACCCCAACAGTAACCCTGTGAGTAACACAATCGTCACCCCATCCGAAGCGGCATGGAGCCGGGGCATTGCGAGCTTCGGCGACCTGGACATTCTGGCATATGGGCACTTACACGTGAAAAAAAAGTTTCTTTTTATTCCGTGTGAGTGGCTCTTCTCGTAGATGGGTCGAGGCCTAGCATCTCTTGAACAGAACAGTAGCCGCAGTGCCTCATCTGCGGATTCACGCAAGCAGAAGCCTGCAATCCTACAACCTGTAAACAGCAGAGTCGGTCGATTTGTGTACTGTGAGGTTCAAGTGTTGGTAAGGCGGGCGTGATGCTGCTTGAAAATAACACAAACCTGCTGGCATGGTTCCACTTCTCCCGGTCCGGCAGGCAATTGATGCACAGTACCCATCGGCCTACCGGCAAGACTGCGCATCTCAAGATGGGTGGACAGGCTTGCCTCGTCCTGTTCGTTTACTGATGCCTTGTTGGTTTTGAATCTAAGATCGTTTGCATGGGCTACGCCGTAGCATGAGTTGCCCTACCCGTCTGCTTTGCTGGGCCTCAACACCAAGATTCCTTCGCAGACCAGCGAAGTGGTCGGACCGTGGTGCAACAGTTCCCGGACACAAGGTAATATTGTTGCCATTATCATCTTTACTAGTACTTGCACACTTTTTCTAGATATTTATCAGGGTTATCGAAAAAAAGACAGAGGCTTCAAAGACCCAAGGGTACCTTCTTCTGGGGTCCTTAATCAGGATCCCACTCTCTGAAGTCAAGACTAGCTAGGATCCCTTACTGTCCGAATTCAACTGGAGTCTCGTTTCATCTTCGCACGATGCCGGAGCCCGAAACCACTCAACTGGCGCAGGGCGCAGTCATGGGAAAGGCTTCACATCCCACCTCTTCGACTTGAATGCTTTTGGAGGAGAGGGTCTATAGGTGTGGAACTTCGGGGTTAGGCTTTGGATTTCGGCCTTGGTTGGGGAATTTCAGCAACACCATAAGTTGTCATAGCCCGTACGTCTTCAGACACAGGCTTAGCAGGCAACAGCTACAAGATCATGGCCCGAAGTGGTGCAGCTGTCCTCATCGGCAGCACCCTTCAAAACCTCTTGCCTCAGTTTTCAGGGCAGGGGCATGGCTAGTTTCGCTGGAACAGGTCTGCCTGCTCTTCTTCGAGCTTGCTTGGTCTTGTTTTCGTTTGTGTATGATGTCCGAGAGTTTCAAATTTCAGATTGCCGGTACGATTAGTGGATGCTTGGAGCATTGTGCTGGTGGCATTGTCAATCTGTAAATTCCTCTTCTCCCTGTCCTGCTTCTTGCCAGCATCTTATGTCGAAGAGGTGGAGAGTACGCAGCCACAAGCAGAACAGGCTTCAAGCAGTCCTGGTGAATACGCCTTGAGCCTGCAAGCCTGCAAGTTCTGACCGGGACGGCTTGAGAGACAAGCGGCAGCTCAGACATGCTGCACGTGAGCCAAAGAAGGGAGCTACCGGAAGCAGTAGCTAACCTCAACCATGGGAGTTGGGCTATGGGATGAAATAGTTAAAATATGCTACAGAGATGTAGAGTTGTGTTCCGGGATATTACTACCAGTCACTTGTGAAGCCAGTTGTTACCGCCTCAGCCGCAGGGCAGCGAGCCCGCATCGAGGTGGGGGGTGTTTGGGGCCTAGGGCCCAGGCGATCAGCGAAGTTTAGGGTACATAAGCCATTGAGAGCCTTGCTGCAGGATCTGAATCTGGAGGCGTATGCACAACGCAGTGTAGACCCCGGAGGAAGATATCCTCTCCCTACACCCCGTCGTTCCAGGATACGGTTTTCGGGACCTTAGAACCAAGGCGCTTGATTGATAGGACTGTCATCATGTCAATGACACAAGTGCGCAACAAAGCCGGGCATGCTTGCCTCGCTGCCCCATGGACCTCCAGCTTTGCAATCTCCGGCTAGAATCCTACGGCTTACGATGATGTGTCGTGATGGTCCGTGGCTGGAATGGTCGACTTTTGAAGTTGGCCTCTGCTGACTTCCTAAGTCATCGGGTACACTTATTCTAGGAGGGATCGCTTAAGCAATGACGTCTAGGCAGCAATTCTGAAAAGCAGGTTCTTTTCGCCTCCGATGCGAGCTTCCGAAAGCGCGGCTTTTGGCTGAAGGACCGGTCGGAGAGTCTCGCAACACCTCAGGGCGGAGGGTTCTAGGCTACAGAGGGGGGGGGCGGGTCTTTGCCAGAGGACAAGACGCCTGTCGTGGCTGTTCAACTTAAGTCCGTTTGTATCACTTCTGAGTACCCGTGCCTCCACTTGCGAAACTCTAGACTCTAAGCCTAAATCCTAAGCTAGACCCAAACCCATGCACAATCTGCGCGGCCAGGATCTGAACGTCCGCGCTGGCAACAAGGCCGCCGACGGCAGGGTTTGGCCAAGGGAGCAGCAGGGTACTCTGAGCCTGAGGGTCTGAATAGTCAAAATAGAGTGTGATAAGAGTGTTGGTGGAGTTTTCGCAGGTTCATACATTGGTTGGTAAGGCTTCATGGTGCCGTACAGGGTTCAGCATCGAGGCTTGCAGACTTGGACTACAGTCTTGCGGATGTAAGGGTGCTACAGGAGTATGCTGTCAGTACCTTTGCAGACCTCTGAACAAACCACCAGTCTTTTAATGTTCACCAATGTTGCTGTAACTGTCTTGGATGTCCCTAGAAAACAGGGCTTGTACTTTGCTCTGTGACTCCTTACTATCACGTCTAGTTGAATCAGCAATGACAACCCCCAAGCCTGATTCGGCGTCTGGAGGAGGTGTTCCAAGACGTGGAGGACGGCCTCGAGGTTGTAGGATTTATCCGACACCCCTAGCCCAGTTGCCTGGGTGGGGCTCTGGGCTCGAGAGTGACAGAGCGATCGAGAGAGAGAGAGAGAGAGAGAGAGAGAGAGAGAGCTAGTTGTCCATGTTTGCTAGCATACTGAGAGAACACAGCAAATCGACACACACAGAAACTCCCCTGGGCGATGATGATGTTATATCGTGGATTGTGGAACCCTGGCATCTATACCCACTAACCATACTAAAACCGTGAAAAACCTAGCAAACCAGGGGGGAACACATTCACCTTTTCACACTCCTCCAAAAGCCCCACGAACATTGGGGGGGGGCCTACAAGGCTGAGGGGTCTCGCACTCTCCTCATGCCGCGGGGAAGGAGAGAGAGAGAGAGAGAGAGAGAGAGAGAGAGAGAGAGAGAGAGAGAGAGAGAGAGAGAGAGAGAGAGAGAGAGAGAGAGAGAGAGAAAGGGAGAGGGAGCCTGAAGCAATTTGTGGCAGATTCGGGCCGAGGTCGGTGTCGGATCGGGTTTCTGGGTGGCCACGAGCAGTCTTTGTGTGTCGCAAGCCATGCGCCTTCGAAGCGTAGCACCGGAAGCCGCTGCCTCAAGTTAAACGTAGCCTTGGACCTCCACTCCTCTTGCCCATAGGACCTTCACGGCACCATTCTGGTATACACCCCTCCTGCGGGGCAGACCGGTCCAGCCCCCGGCAGCGACATGCGTGGGTAAGGTGAGTTTTGGGGGTTTGGTCGGGTCGTTGAAGGGGCCCTGGGCTTCTTGGTGTTGCCAGAAGGGCCATGGTCCAGGCTTGGAAAATTCGGGCTCTTGCATCTTGCGGTCTTGGGCGGTCATGATGGTGCTTGCCCTCGACCCTGGTAAGGCCAAAGGCCAGATGTCGCATTGGCATCGTCTGGTCTTAGCCGAGGAATCTGACGGCTTTGGAGCTTTGCCTTACCATGATGCACCCTAGCTTACAACCCTAAATACTTTTCAAGCAGCTTGTAGAAACCACCCCAGGTGCTGCAGGCGTTCCTGTGGTGGTGCAGTACCCGGACGGTTTCGAGGTGGCTCCCTCTTCGAGTCCAGCGGTTGAGGGTTTGACTTCGGGGTTCCTCAGGTTATCTGGGGTTTGTCAGGTCCCCGGACTGTCTGAGAGATGTTGAGCATCGTAGCGGCCGGAAAACGATAAAATTAGCAACGTTGTAGTCCCTATGTAAATGTGACTGCAACATAAGCACCAGCACCCATGCTCATTATTATCAAGGCTTCCATATCAGCTCAGCTGAACATCTCAGTCCCATGGGCGTAGGCAGATCGTGGCATGCAGAAATCCTCGCAGACACGCTCTGCGCCGCAACTTGGCAAGTTGCTGTCGGCCGTAGATGAGTCTTTGTTAACCCGCTGATCCCTCAACTCCCAAAGCTCTTTAGGCTGTCGAGGATGCTTATATGTGAGGATGCTGAAGACCTGCGTTGCTTGAGTAAGTTTCCGAAGCTCTCCCTACATCCCTGAGTCCCTGAGCCCCCTTAACCTCGAACCCCCCCCCCCCCCCCCCAGCACGCTCTAGATCGCGTGCTCAGCTGAGGGTTTGGGCCACGTGGAGACAAGGCCCGGCTGTGGGAATGTAAGGCCGCGCTGTGGAGGTTCGAAGTCCCGAATAGAGAAATATTTTGGCTACTTAAGCTATATATTCGCCATAGCTTGTTTTGCCTCCAGCCCGTTTCGCTTGCTTGTTTGGGTTTTTTTTCGGGTTTATGGCCCGATACATCTGCAAGCTCCTGGAAACGAGGCAAAGTGTAGGTGCCAGAGTACGAGACTGCAACCTCTGCGAGCCTACACTTGCCAAGCTCAGGCCGAACCCTGCAAGTCCTAAATGGGAGTTTCCAGAAATTAGGGTACCTTCTTTTGGGGTCCTTGTAGCAAGGGTCCCGTGTTTTCGGCAACTCTCCAATCCGAAAGCCTAGGGACACGTCTGGGAAGCATTTTGCCTCTCAGAGGTCCGACCTCCCGCTCTCTCTGCCCTGGAAGTGTCTTTTCAGGTCCGCAGTGGCCCGAGTCCAATCTCAGAAGACAGCCCCGAAGCTGATCTACGACAGCCGATGATGTGGGCTTCGGGCTGGGCTAGGGTTGGCGGTCAAGGGTCTAAGGGTGAGGGAGTTATGGCTTCTGGTACGTGTGCCTCTGTGGCTTTCAAAGATCGGGGGGGGGGGGGTTACTCTTACTCCTTACGATGCGACAACTATGAAGTCATTGTTTTCGCAGACTTCGGCTTCCAACACGGCCCTCAGAATCTGCGTGTTGTTTTTTCAAAGCCTCCATGATGTGTTCCTGGGTCTAGTGTTTCACGATCGGGTTCATCAGCTTCGAGTTGTGGGGCAGCATATGGGTGGTTGTCAAAATTAGGGTCCCTTTTTGGGTCATTGATATAATACGGCACCGAATATTTACGGTACCCAGAAAGGGACCCCACCCATATGAAGAGAGGCTTTTCGAAAAATGGGGCTTCCTGGGACCTCGGCGGTTTCTGAATCTCCCATGAGGCAATTCTACTGAACCCCAAAGCCTCACACCCCTAGGGGGCGTGTTCGAGGGTTCGGAAGCTCCGAGGGACACCTGGTTGCAACATCCCCGAGGCTGACAAAGGCATTGAGCATAAAGCCGAATTGAAGTCTTAGCCTTAAGATGAAAGATACTATCGTCCCAACATTTGATGATACTATCTCCTTGAATCCTTAAATACTAACTCTGAAGTTTACAACTTGATCTGATGCATATCTGGTCTGGTACACACAGGCAAGCTTAATCGCACATGATCCCTGCAACATGCCGAGTGACTCTGATCCCTCCAAGTCACGAGCGGCTCAGCCCACCTGCAACTGAACAGTATCTGTCATCCAGCAGCGGAAGCCAATTAATTGTGCACCATTGACTGGGTGAAGACGGCTGAATTCGAGAGGAGTGCCAAGTGCAACAAACGCCTCACAACCCAGTTCTAAGCATGGAATGAGGTCAACCCCAAAAAGCACATTTGTGTCCACGAAAGATCGTGCAAACATCACCTCCTGGCGTGCAACCGATGATGCAGCAAGAATTGACACGCAGAGCCGAGAATGCTGAGCTTTGAATGCTGGTCGCACTCGTGCAGTGGAGAGACAACGTGCGCAAACTTGAGGAACAGCAAGCATGAGCTTGTCTTTGCCGGGCAGCATACCGTGGCAATGACGTCAGATTCCGAAGAGGACTCACTGCCGCGCTCGAAAGGTTCACAACGCCGAGCACGACCCCTACCGTTGGCCGCTCTGAGTTGTCAACACCGAACATCTCCAATTCCAATCGGGCAACAAGGGCCCAAGAAAGCATGCGCCGAGAGAGCAAGGTATCTGGGCTGGTCCTATCAGTCCGACGTGATAGACACCCGTACCGCGAGATTACATCCTGGGCAGGAGCGGGTCTCTGTAGTCTGAGGGGTTCAGGGCTTCAAGTACTGTAAGGCTTCGGAGTTCAAGGTGTTCAGCTGGGGGGCTTAAGTGGGGATGGCGGGGTTTAGGTCCATCCCTGAGACTTGATATTGAGGCTTGATGGCTGGTCTAATTCTCTCCCTTCAACTAGGCTATGTACGATACTCCCGCCTTCTTCATGCAGGGGTCAGCGGCTACCACTCTCCTCCCCCCAAGCGTGCCCCAATATCACGGGCCCAGACCAAAAGCCTGGTGCTCAGACCTAGAACGAGACCCAGACCCGAACATCGCCGAGCAGCATTCCTGTAGCTCCTTTCTGTTTTTAAGATGTGTAGTAGCAGGACATCTCCTTGTGCTGCTACTTCTTCCGCCCGAACCCCGAAGCCTTGGTCAGGAGGCCTGTCTCCTCTTGAGCGCTCCTTTCCGCGGCCTCCTGACTGTGGCCTCTCTCTTCACGCTGCGCGACAAGATCGGCATCAGGCGAGCATTAGGGGGTTAAGGGTTTCGAGGTTGAGGGTTTTTGGGGTTTTCGGGTCTAGAGAATAACCAAAAGAAGGGCTCGGCTTCAAGAGGACAGCCAAACACATGAAGCCACGGCCAGGAAAGGACCCGGAGGTCCTTCCTAAATTGCTTGTGGTTGCGGACTGCTTTGCCGACCATATTTGTGGCTCTTAAGCTCACAACCTCGCAAGAGCGCAGAAAAGGTGGCGACTGCATTGACCGAAACATCTCGGTCAGGTCAGTGGGGCTTACGATCCGAGACGCTGCAAAGCCCTACGAGGCCACCCTGGCATTCGGGTTGATGGGCCCTTTCATTCTGTTTTGGCTCCGCCGGTGGATGCTTAGCCGCTGGCAGTGGTATAGCTGTCACTGAGGATGCCATGAGCATCGTTTACATGTACAGCATGTCTTCAAGTTGTCTTGTGCCGTGCGGGTAGAGGATGTCGCACTTTGGTCGCAGCTTTAGGGCGTGGTGCTGTGTTGGTCAGGGCCCTGTGCGCCCGCTAAAGACAGCTGCAGCATCCTCTTGTGGGCTGTAACTCTACTCTCGAATCTACAACTTCTCTTCAGTGCCCCATTTCGTGTGGTATATGTGCAGTACTCATCAGCACTCATCGAATCTTAACTCTGCTCCGCGTGCCTCAAAGGCCCATCCCTCCGGAAGAGGTGTTGGGCTCTTCAGCGTTTGCCTTTCTACTTAGCCCGACCAGGCACCAAAGACACTCGAGCAGAAGCAACCAGCATATGTGAAGGTCAGGTCAACCATTATGCTGAACGAGAGGCAATATCGACTGCCAAAATGCAGGAACATACCTCGCACTCTTCATGTTCTGGGTGATTCTGTCTGAAGCATCCATTGAATATGATTTTGCTTCAGAATTGGCGTGCCGCGACAGCCACATCAGGGTTTACATGTAGGTTTCAAGCTCTGTTGTGCAGCTCACACCACTGCTGCCACGCACTTGGACGCCAATGCGGCAGTGGCCAAACATCCGCAACCATAGCCATAGTCGTCAAGTGGGCTGTCCGTCGTGAGGGTCGATGAAAGACATGGCCAGGAGTCCGGCGGCAATGATCCTTTCTGTCACCCAACTCGAAATTTTTTGTATGGGCACTCAATATCGCAGATCTACGTGTATGTCTGGGAAGAGAGAGGCTCGTGCCAAACCGATACCACATGCTGAGCCCCTATCCTGCCCAGCAGACCCTCCCCATTTTAATGATGCTTTCCCAAATGTGCATCGTTGCCAGGCCATGACTGTGCTTACGTCTTCTTCGCCCGGTGCCGCTGGGATTGAATGATGCAGGCGAAATTTCGAGTGGACAGTTTCTAGCACAGACCCCTTGTGCTTGTTCTTTGAGGTGACATTGCTATGACTTCAGCATGCTTTATGAACCCATTCTTAGTGCACAATGCAAGTCGGCTGGACTGGATGCAGACCCACGGAAACATCCACCGACGTGGACTTCACGAAAGTTCCGCAGTGCTTCCGTAGCTCCTGCTGTCAGATGCTACCTCGGTCCGAGAGCACCTCGTACAGTACCGAGATACCGCGCATGCTTCGTGTTGGGTATGTATTGCTGTGTTCCTGACTTCGTCTCTCGTGATTTCGGCGTTTGCTTGCTTCGCTGACCACCAATCCTAAAGCCTAAACCCGAAGCCCAACAAGGTCACTGACCCCGGCATCCACCGCTTCCGCCTCGCAGAGAAGCCGCTGAGCTTTGAGTTTTGTTTTACCTGAACCCCGATGCCGGGAAGTTAAAATTCAGGTACTTGTAGGGCTTTGAGGCCGGGGGTTTGATTGAGTATGGCTGGATTGCTTCGGAGTTTAGGGTTCGGACGTGTAGGCTGGAACTTTGTTGAACAGTAGCTCAGTAGGTCCTGCAGGGCCGAGAGGGAACTCTTGAAACCCGCATGTGGCTGCAATCGAAGCCGAGATAAGCATGTCTTCCAGAGATCGCAGACGACCCTAGGCGGCAATTCCCAAACAATGAGAGTTGCAATAAGTTTGACAACAACTTGTGGCAGCCTCCTCAGATGGAAAGTCAGTTTCACTTCAAGATTCCTCTTTCGGATGGCCTATGAAGCCTTGCCGTAGATCCGAGGGTCTGAGTGCAATAGGGTTTGGGGGTATATCAGACTATAGTGTTTCAGGAACTCCCCAAAATAGTTTTGGTAGTTATTTAGGCCCCTTAAGTTGGCTCCAGCGGCCCCGACCCCGTGTGTTGTTGCGGACGCTGGAACCAAGGTCTCCCATCTTTGAGCCCGATGAGAAGTTCTTCCTTTGCATCTCTGCCGGCGATGTGCGGTCGATGTCTACGGACGGTGCCGTCGGGCATGGGGTTTTGGGCTTCGAGGAAGCCAGTCTTATGAAGCTTGAGCTGTATAGTTAGTTTCTTGGACCTTAAGTAAACCCTGAACCCTGAAATCCTAAGCCGCAAAGGGCTTCAGGAGGCTGTTACTTCAGGAGGCTGTTAGTTAGCCAACACTGCACCCGGTCCGGCTTTCAAGGCGCGGAGATCTAGCTTCAGAGGGTGAGGTCAACAGCAATAGTTTAACAGAAGGGTAAACCCTTGCAGGATGGGTGTTGCTCATTTTATGTTTTCGGGATATGGTTTCTTTCAGCTTCGACTGTTTTATGTTGTGATCCCGTGTGGAACAAACAAGCGTCCACAGCGTCCTCCTCCCCTGGAGAGGGACGGTGTAAGGGTTACTAAATTTAAGGGCCACTGTAAGCTTACGGCAAGGGTTGCCTTGCGCAAACTACACACTTCTCCGGGTGGCTTGCAAGCACAAGTCTTGTGCGGTTGCTGAGCTTGGAAGCCTCTTGTTGAGCAGAAATTGGGCAACCAGTTCCCATTTTCGAGTCTGCGATGCAGGGTCTAGGGTGTAGAGTCTAGAGAGCGTCTTGAGATCTATAGATCTTGGAGCGATGCGGGAACGCTATTTACATCTCCAGACGTCCACGTGCTGATGACTGGGGCTGTAGGGTTGAGGGGACGAGCAGCCTGTCATAACGTGATAAGTCCGCTTCTTACCACTGTGCATGTCAGTGGATTGAACATGTACAAGAGTATAAGTAAACGAATACATAGATATACGAAGATAAAAAAGCAGGGATGTAAGTAAGCAAGCAATTGGTGAGTACGTAAGCAAGTAAGTCTCCAAGTTGGCAAGTACGCCAGTAAATGCAACAGCACTCAAACTCGGACGCGAACGAAAAGCTGCGGGCAAATGTGGTATCCTTGGCAGGTACCTCAGAGCCGTTCTTGCACCTCCCGCTCTCGAATGTGACGTCTGTTGCTGAGGCACTGCTGTGCTCCTATGCCTAAGCCATGCTTCGGATTTGAAATTTTTGTTCAGGCTTTGAGGGTTCTGGGATCATGTGGATAGGCATTGTGGGGTTGTGGGACAAAGATTGGTTGATGACAGTGCTCAAGTCCGCAGCTTTTTGTGGAGCCTTTGATCAGGAGCCCTCATTAGAGTCTCCGGAGGTACCTTGATTCCTAATATAAGGGCCTTATTAATTACCTATACTATTTTGGGGATTCCTTATTATAAGCATAGTATACTGCGCCCCAAAACCTTATTCTAATTATTAAGGACCCTATATTAGACCCTCACCTTCCAGGGCGTGCCTGGCTGGATGATGCTCCGTTCGGATTCCGACGGCAGCATCGGCGCAGAGGCGCTGAGCGACGTGTGGAAGGAGCCTTGGGTGACTTCTGAGCATTGGCTTCGGCGTCGTGTGGCTGTCTCTTGTGTGTTACTATGTTTAGCGATAGTGTTACTATGGCCACTTAATTATGGCCATTATTACTGTTATCACCATGATTGCGGTTGTTCTTTGTCTTTATGGAATCATATCCAGTAGCATGATGGGTACCGTTGAGCTAAGCATTGCTATCTTTTGTTAACTGTTATTTTGATGGCACTTACGAGTGCTACCACTGTTATTACTATGTACTGCTTTCCCATGTTAGCACACATATGTCTAATCCTGCGCGGCGGTTGTTGTGGTTGCTGTTGCTGAGTCCGATCGCGCAGCGTCCAAACAGAAATTGCTGTTGCTGCTGCTGCTGGTGGTGTTGTTGTTTCCGTCAAAATTCACACTTCCATGGCGCATGCTTGCGCATCTTTATCATGGGAACTATGGGTGTTTCTGGTACATGCATGGGCAGGGGTTTAATATCTACACATGCATACATATACACGCAGGTTGTACAATGTATTCATGTACTTGTGGGAGTTGGGGAGGTGAAATGTATCTCCTCTTCTGACGTCCCTATATAAGTCCAGCTTGCTACTTAGTGTTACTTCCTGTGGCTGTTAGTGTTTGGGAAGCGTCTCCGGGTTGGGTGCTAGCCGGCGGCTCCAAGCAATACAGGTCTGGCCCCCTACCATCTGCTTCGTACAGACTGTGAGCCTTGCATGTAAAGCCTTAAGCCGCGCTACTCTTCTACACAATTGAGAGCACCTGGAAAGTTGTTGCCCCCGATGAGTCTTCCGAAGTTACAACCTGCTGGGTTTTGCGCAGCGTATAATATAATATACTGTAATACTACATACACTGTAATGATATACTACCATACTATGCTATACGTCTTTGCAGGATCATCGCCTGTCTCTGCGGGCCACGGACTCGGCCAGAGTTGGAGATGTTGCTACAGTTGCTATTTAGGGCTTCAGGGTTCAAGGCATTCCGTAATTTCAGTCATGAAGTTGTTGGCACTCGATTTTTATGCCATCTCCTGCAATCGAGCTTTCGACTAGCACTTCGTCATTGCTGCAGAGGCTTCCATGCACCACTCCGAAACTGACAGAACCTGCCTCATGACCGTCAGCTTTGATCGAGGCGATAACAAGACGCTCGCTGCTGTGCACCCACACAAAGAGACACACAGTAACCTCCTTCTGTTCGGAATGTGACTAATCCCTTCCCTTCTCGGATCCTTCTCCGTCGAATGTCCTAGGTTTCTACGGCCTGTACGTAGGAGCCAACAGCTGCAGATTCAGGCCCTCAATCCGTTCGCCCAGATTCCGAAGCTTAGGTCCCCGATGGAGGATCCAAACCCCAATCCGAGTACCCGAAACCCTCAACCTAAATAGTACGTATATCATGCAAGACCCAATCCTCTCAACTCCCTGCACAGTAGACCCTGACCGCCCCTAAAACTCCAACCCAGGCGGAGTTTCTCGAGCAGCCGCAGCGGCGACTGCGGGGTACCAGTTGCTTGTGCCAACCATCTTTGGGAGTTTGCGGCACTTGTTTCGAGTTAGGGGTTTGCTTTGATCAGGGTGCTACTGCAACTAGTATGTAGGGCTTGGTGTATAAGTGATCCAATCATCATAAGGCGGCCCAGAAGCATCACATTAACCTTTGGAGAAGCTGTGCAATTCTCACATGGGTCACCGTCTGTGATCCCCCCTTCCCTTTTGCTAAGTAAGCAGGTGCTCGCCCGCAAACAGAAACCTAGTCGTGTTCATAAGGGTCTACAGAGGCTCTAGAAGGGATCTGCAAGGCTTCTAGGGGAGCAGTTGACTGGGCTTGTGGTTCTTGTGGGAGTTGGTGTTGTGAGTATCGGAGTTGAGCTAAGTTTCATGGGTTTGCTGTGATAAGCCTATGCCACGGCTGTGGTCGAAAGTAGGACCGAAGTTGGGCGTCGAACACCCCCGAAACCCTGAAGCTAGACCCTCAGCGCAGAACCCTGAACCCTGGACCCTGAATCCTAAGGAACCTTGAGACCCAGAGCGGAAGTCTCGGCTTGTCACTTGCGTCAAAAAGACCTATACGCCTCAAAGCCGACCTTATGCAAATTCCTACAAAGACCCTACCACCAGCAGCCCTTCATCCTGGACCCGTACAAGGTTAGCCAAGACGTCAGACTGGACGAGCTCACCGCGCTCCTGAGAAGCCTTGCAAAGCCGTGCAGATGAGGGCAGAGACTTTTGGACAAGGCTTTATATTATAGCGGACTCGGACAATGCTATTCCGTTACATTTCTTTTGTACTGTAGCATACCCCGAAAACCTATTCAAACACGTAAGCCCAAGGTGCAGTCCAGTGGAGTGCTGTTCGTCGCGGTTTTGTGACGACCGCGGCCAAATTCTGCTTATGAGATACTTATGAGCGAAGTTCTGGGGAATCGCGAATGAAACACAACTTAAACAAGATAATTACTCGCAAGATCTTGCAAGAGCAATTCCCAAGTTGATCGTTGGCTCTGTTGACAGTACCAACCGTAACGTGCTTGACGGTGGTCTGTCGATTTTGCTTTCGGTCGTCCTGATTGAATTTCATGTTGCTGCTTTCATCACGTGCACCTGCAACAGCGAGCACATGCAACTTCAGATATTTCTGGTACGATTGCTGTGCTTTTTTGGGATTTGGTCTGCCGAAGTTTTGATTTTTCTCGCACATACGAACGTAACGACTCTCTGAGAGCATACACCACCTTCCAGACTTCCGTTGTCTTCGATCTTTTTCTCCGTGTTGTCTCTTCGAGATTTTGTTTCCGCAGTTTAAAATGTCTCTGAAGCATTGACAACCCAAGAAAATTCGCAGTTTTTGGAGGCTATGCGGCAAAAGTTGCTTGGTTGCTTGCGGACAAAGCCACTTCCTGTCGATGTGTAGCAGCGTAGCAGTGTAGCAGTGCGTCTGATGCGTGCTGACTTGGCGAAATGTTACAGGGACACGAGACCACATGCAAAAAGCGCACGCAAACATGATAAAGTCGTGGGCGGCCGCAGGGCAAAATCCAGAGTGCACATTTCAGCACGCCAGTTTGGCTTCGAATTGTTGCTGCGGCGTCAGCAAGCGGTATGTCGCTGCACAGCCGCAGCAGCAGCAGGAGAGGAGGAGCAAGAGCAGCAGCGCAAGCGGCAGGAGCAGCCGCCAAACTAGCAACAGTAGTCCGTGGTACCTTATGGATGTATTTTGGATTGCATTTGGTATCACTGTGCTGTTGGTGCATCACCGGCTGTGGCACTTGTTGCTACCACTGCGACGAGGACGAGTCTGAAACAGCAAAACAGGCAGCACCAAGGCCAAAAAAGCTGGAGCCACAGAACGTTGCTCAGAAACATGGGATGACAAGCAAAGTAGTCGAATGGTCGCGGTCGTCTCACTCGATGATGTTCTTCTACTCCATCGTGAAGATGGATGTGGGGGTTTGCATGAATGCGGTTGCAACAAGGCAACAACGCCATTTTTGTGCATTTTTGTAAAGGCCCCGGCTGAAGCGTTCACGCGGCTGCTGAATGCATCGCTCCATTCAGAGCTGAGGCTTCGCTTTCGGGCAGGCATGACGATAGTGCCGGGAGCGCTCAAAACAAGCTCACCCCAAACCCGGGATTCTGAGTCTGATGTAGTGCCAGAGAAACCGTACCGTCC